GCAGGAATCAGATTTGTTGGGAAAAAAAAATCTTCTTGGTGTGGCCAATTTTGAGCACTTTAATTAATCTTTACTCATGAATGATCACTGAATGCAACGTACTATGGGTAAAGCACAACCATACATACTTCCATAGTTCTAGAAAATATGTACAAACACCAACTAACTTGCAGAACAGAGTTGGTTGTCAGAAATAGTCTGGTAATTTCCAAGTCATTTACTCTTTCACATCAATTAATTCCAAAGAGGGAACTGATAGCAAATTAAACTTTGATTTAGCCCGGTCATATGCCGCAATTCTGAAAGATCTTATACACACACCTAACTTGAAGACAGTAAGTAAGCTAATGCAAAAGTGGAAGCCACAACAGAATCATGCCTAATATTAAACAAACTGAAAAAAACCAAAACCAAAACGCACTCATTTTTGTTCTTTGAGTAGAATTATTGTGGGAAAATTATTCTATCTCTTACTTGGAGTTGAGAATTGCTAAAGATATGGAAAGGAAAAGGAGAAAACTGAAGAAAGATACTCTGTGAAGAAGTTACCAGGTGTATGATGTGCTACTGTTTGCAGTAGGTCAACTCACTGGTACTAGCTGACCCTGCTTGGAGCACAGGGGGTTGGGCTAGATGACTTTCAGAGGTCCCTTCCAACCACGGTGATTATATGAAACATATTTCCACTCTTTTCATGAGTACATTTTTTTAGAATAGTTTTACAAAGATACAATAAAATATATCTGCATTGCACATAAATACACAAGTTCTTGGCCATGGGCACAGTTGATCTGTTTTCTATCACTGGGCTTTTTAATTAGTGCAGCTGTCAGTTAATACAACAGAAAATGAAGTATAGACAGTTTAAAACCCCACATTTCTCCCCTTTATATTTTGGTCAAATGAAGAAAGACAGCCTGCTAGAACTTTCCCTTTATTAAAGTGAAATATTTTATCTATGAATATCAATCTCTTGGGTTTTTTCATAGATAAAGAAATGCTCCTTGAATTTGTTGGTCTGTGCTGGCATTGAAAAATCATAGCTTGAAAATAGGTAGCATGCACTTAAAAAAAGCAGATGAACTGTGTTCTTTTCTGGTGTAATTTGGAAGCCAGTTGTGTGCTAAGTGGTACCAGGGATTGAATTAGCTCAGTGTATTTGTTGTTCATAAAGGCACTTAGAGCTAATTAAATGTCTGACATTTTACAGCTCTTGAGGTTATTTTCTGGTATGAATACGTAAGTGTAGGATCAGTAAAATAATTAAGACAAGCTTTAAAAATCAGATCAGTACTTAAGTCCTGTTTTGGTTAGTCGTGGGACCACCTTCTCAGCTGATACCAGCTGTAGTGTCCCACTGAGTTCACGTGGATGACAACAGAAGCAGAGCATTGAGCCCCCAGGTCTTTGTGTTTAATACAGACACTAACACTGTGGATTTGAACAGACTGGGTTTGTTGGGTTTTTTAATTCCAGATGTTTTTGTTTCATTTACTTTGATTTATCTTGTGAAAAGTGTGCTCTTGTAGTTTTGATTTTTCTGAAGTTTACATTCGGCTTTTGATTTCAGATTGCACATTTGGATTAAATAAACTGTTTTCTAAGTTTACATTTGTATAAGAAGTAAAAGAGTGACTCTGCCAGTATGTTAAACCTTAGAGGGAAATGTCTTACTATAACACAGGAAGTCTTCAGACATAAGTCAGTACCATTAAAGACAATTTAACCTGATCTCTGATCTGTAGTATCAGTTTTCTCAATATATTTCAAATATGGGAGCTGGATATATGGGAGCACACTGTGGAAAAAGATACTTTTCATCACAAACTCAATAATTACCAAATAAATTAAGGTTCG